ACACTTTATTCATTCTTTTCCAGTTAACTAGATAATTTGAGTGCCTCTCAGTGCGTTAGGTTCTTGGGATACAGAAATGAATGAGAGATGGTGACAGATAGCAGTAAAACATGCAAGTTCTGGCATCAGCTAAACCTCTGTCATTCATTCATCCATTCACCCATCCATCCTCGCATTCAACAGATTACAGAGGAAGTGCCTTCTGTGGGCCCAGCGTCATGTTGAACAATGGAACTCCAGCTGTCTTTCCTATCATACATGAAGCCAGTTCTTTTTTTTTTTTTTTTTTTTTTTGAGACAGTCTTGCTCTGTTGCCAGGCACCATGCCAGAGTGCAGTGACACAATCTTGGCTCACTGCAATCTCCGCCTTCCCATATTCAAGCAACTCTCCTGCCTCAGCCTCCTGAGTAGCTGGGACTACAGGCACGTGCCACCACGCCCAGCTAATTTTTGTATGGTTTAGTAGAGAGGAGGTTTCACCATGTTGGCCAGGATGGTTTCAATCTCTTGACATTGTGATCCACCCGCCTCAGCCTCCCAAAGTGCTGGGATTATAGGTGTGAGCCACCGCACCCGGCCAAAAGCCAATTCTGTAACCTCTTTAGGTCTCAGTTTTCTCAGCTGATAAATGGGAAGAATAATAACACTCAGGACATTCCACTGGGTTGCTATGAGAATTAAATAAAATATGCTTAGTACAGAACCTGAGTGAATCAATGTGGGCTACTGCTGTTTAGTAATAGTATTTTTTTTGCATTGGAAGACATGGACGCTGCCCTCCAGAAACTCGTGGCGAGGACGGGTACATGGCCCTTTGCTTCCCTAACCCTTTCTCTGGCTGCAGTGGAGTGGGCAGCTCTTGCTGCTATGCCCCAGTTGCAGCCCTGGTTCCCTGGGCCCTCTGAGCTGAGCTCCCAGGGGGCTCAGTAACATGACCTGCCCTGGACCCACCCCCCAACTTTGCCAGGGAAAAGCGGATGGGCGTCCTCATTGGCAAGGATCCAAGCAGGGCAAGTGTTGGGGTTCAGAGGACAAAGGAAAGGGACATTTCAAGGAAGTTCCCACTTCCTCAGAACCAGAGTTCCTATCTCCCTCGCTCACATGATCTATTGGGACATTCTTCACGTTCCAAATGTAAGCACGTCCCGGAAAAATGCCAGTGCTGGTCTTGTGATGAAATGTCTTTCTTTACAAATTACTGACATGGCCTGAGAGCCTGGAGGATGGCGAGAGGAAGGAGCAGCCCCCACGTTTCTGAGCAAGGAAGAGATGATATGTTCCCATCCTTATTCACTTATCAAAACTTAAGATAACTTATGTCTGTAAGATGGGAACAAAATGTATCCCTGTCATGAGGGGATTTATGAGTTCAAATGAGACCCTGTATATAAAAATACCTGACTCTGCAATGACTGTTTTTTAGGTTGTAATTTATTTCATCTTCATATTATTCAGTGATGTAGATAATTTTCTCATCTCCACTCACAGGAGAGGAAATTAAAATCAGAATGGTAACTTTACTTGCTTAAAGCCACCCAGGTACTAAGTGAGAGAATTAGTCATCAAACAAGGTCTGTCTGAATCCTGAGCTTATGTTTTTAACCACTCACCATTTATTTAGTGTAAGAATTAGCAAGCTTTTTCTGTAAAGGGACAGATATTAAATATTTTTGGCTTTGTGGTCCAGACTGCCTGTCCCAACTGCTCAACTCTGCCATTGCGGCATGAAAGCTGCCACACACAATGTGAATGAATGACTGTGGCTGTGTTCCCATAAAACCTTATTTGCAAAGATGGGCAGTGGGCTGGATGGGGCTTGCAGGGCTGCAGTTTGCAACCTCTGCTTTAGAGGATTGCTTGATTTGGGAACTTGGGCATTTGGGACATGTGACTGTGTAAAGGGTGCCTAAGGAATAGATGCCTGCTAGCGTGAGGACAGCCTGTAGCTTCTACAGAACATCTGCTTGTCAAGCAACATCAGTCTTCATATGGAAGATGGCTATTAAAAAGTAAGTGTGAGTCCGAGATTGATTGAAGGCAATCAGAGCAAGCAGGAGAATTAAGTACAAGAGATCGCCATTAGAAGGGTCTCCTCCATGCAGCCTTCCTGACCAGGGACAAGAATAGCCTGGGTGATTTATAATGCTCCACGGAGCTTCTCTGACTTCTCTGGTTTCTTTTTTGCCCCCTGGATTATCTTGTCCTCAGCCACCCCCTTCCTCTACCCCAAAGGATTTGAACCTACTCAGTCATGGGGGCAACGTCACCACAGTCTGCACCTTCCTAGCTGGCTCTGACCGCCCCTCAATGCCGACACCCCCTGCCTGCCCAGGGTGAGCTGGGGCTGAGCAGGTTAAGGCCAGGTTTGCTGTGAGGCTGGAGCCTGCTGGGGCTGCTCCAGACCTGTTTCTGGGACAGCAGGTGCAGCCGTTCACTGACACCAAAATACATTCTTGAGGCAAGAGCAGACGGGCCAAACAAGAGCGGGTCTCCCACCCTCCGCGGCCTTGGCTCCCTCCCGAGGACACATTTGCTGTGAGGACACCCCAAGTGCTAATCCTCTCACCCAGGAGACCTAAGCAGGATCAGCATTTTAGCCGAGGGCTGAATGCAGGCAGGGGCATCCCCCCAGTGCCGTCTGGCTGGCCCAGGGCAGCGGTAAATCACACAGGGGAAAGCACTTCTTGGACGCCTGGGTTGCTGGGGACCCCGTGGGTGTCATAAATCAGGAGCTCACCCCATTTCACCTGTACCTTCTTGTGGGCATGTGCAGGACCCTCTGCAGCCCAGGAAGAGAAAATGGCGGAGAATAAATTCAGCCAGCCCAGGCACCAATGTCTGCTGTCTCTTTGTCAACTTATTACCTGAGATTTATGCATGATGCAGCCAGGTCTGCTCCATGACACATTCTAATTTAATTAAATTTCTGTTGGATTGATGTCTGATCAATCAATAATGTTAATGTTTTTGCAATTTGGAGATTAAAGCATGGTCAAGCCATGGCCACCCCCCGCCCCCAGCATCATCCACTTACTTGAGAATATTCTTTGAGAGGAGGTTTGCCTGCCTGCATTCTTTCTCCCTCTCTTCCTCCCCTCCATATTTAAACATTTATTAAGTGCCTAGGATGTAGAGCTATAACCAGAAGGGAATAACACTTAGAGCAGTGGTTCCTAAACATGAGCATACATCAGCATCACCTGATAGGTGGGGGCCTGTTAGGACACAGATTGCAGGGCCCCAGCCCCAGAGTTTCTGATTCATGAAGTCCAGGCTGGGGCCTGAGAGTGTGCATTTCTATCAAGGCCCAGATAATGTAGATGCTGCTGCTCCCAGGGACCCCATTCTGAGAACTGACTTGGAGGTTAAGGGCCGATGCTCTGGAATCACCTGGGTTCAGGTCCTACTTACAAACTGTGTGGCTTCAGGCAAGTTACTCGATTTCTCTATGCCTCAGTTTCCTAAATCATAGGCTCATTGCCTGCCATAAGGGAGATTGTTTAATGCCTGTGAAACACCCAGCACAGTGCCTTGTATACAACAGGCACTCAATCCATGCCATTGGAGAGCAAAGCAGCTGCACTTGCAGATTCCCATCTAGAAGGGTGTGAGGCGGTACACATGCAAGGGTGATCGTATAATCAAGGCAGTAAGAGGCTGTCATAGGGGCATTTTATTTAACTGGGGAGGTCAGAGAGGACCCCCTGATGAAATTGAGCTGGAATTTGAAGGAGGGAGGAACAAGTAACAAAGGAAGCATGAATCTGGGAGGCACCCTTGGAGGCCAATGTAATGGGTTTGATCAGCAGCCAAGGCCCAATGGAAAGACTAAAGAATGTTTTAAACAGTGGTGGCAACAAAATTGTACTCTACAGTTGAAAAGATCTTTCCAGCTTCAGCTTAGGGGCATGGCTTGGAGCGGGAAGGAGTGAAGGTGGGAACAGCAGAGACTGAAGTAGCCAGGCCTCAAGCTCCAAGATTCTGTTCCCCTCTGGAAACCTGATTCCCCCATAGTTCCCTCTTCTGCCTTCCACATTGGTAAAAAGCCACAGATTCATGTCCATGTGGGGCATTGCAGCTATCAGTCTGGTGTCAGGGGGAGGGGAGAAGATGCACATGAGTAGTGATGGATTTAAAATACCCGGTATCTTTTGCATAAGATCATCATTCTCTATGGTATAGAAGGTACCACATTAGGGGGTCTTCTGAGATTCCAAAGCACTCAAACACATACAGTCTTCTCTTAAGGCTTTTGCTGTCAAACGTCACACCATTCTTTATGTGCCGAACGTTTGAAATCAGCACATGCATTCCAAGAACCTTTGCTGACCACCAGCTGTGTAGATAGCATCAGGCAGCAGAAGGTGCCAGCCTGAGGAAGATCCAAACGTTCCCTCCAGGATCTCCTTTATTCATGCAAGAGGGTGGATCTAATTCAGGATTCTTCTTATTTCATCCCAGGATCTCTACTCGAGATGCTTTAATATTTTCTTTGTCCTTTCAAAACAAAGCCCTAACCAGTCTTACATGATGAAAACTGAAGAACACCATTACTGAGGGTGAGGCAATTTCCTGTTCAGGATGGCATTAACGGGCTTCATTTAAACCCATGGGTCATTCTTCATTCACACGGATTTCAGAGAGTGTCACCTGCCAGGTGCCCCTCAGTTACCTGTGCTGAGGCAGGTGTGAGAGGGTGAGTCCAGGGGGAGTGAGGTCCAGAGGAATTCCAGACCTCATTGATCCAGGGAACATAACCCTGTGTTTCATCAGTGATTGTAGAAGCTCTAGGTAGTGGGGCTGGACTTGTCAGGAGATCCCTAAAAGCCAGAAAAGCTCTCCAGACCTTTTACTTTATCTTCTTATCTTGAAATTCTCACTCTGGATAGCAACTTCATTCATGTGTTCACTCACTCATTCATTCATTCATTCATTCATTCATTCATTCATCCTTTTACTCAACCAAGAAGGAATTACAGAGGAATACAAGTTTGCCAAGCCCAGGAGATCTGCAAAAAATTTAATATTTGCAAATATATCCATCATAATCATAATAACAGTGATCATTAAGGCTGCTGACATATATTAAGCATTTTTCCCAAGGGAGGTGCTATATTAAGCTCTTTTCCTGCACCAGTCCAATCATTCTTCACAATATCTTTGTGAGATAGACCCTACTGTAGCACCGCCTTTGCTGGAGAGGACATTGAAGGTCAGAGAGATGAAGTAATCTGGCCAAGGACACAAAGCTAGTGATGGTGAAGGTGAAACATACACACACAGAGCAGTCTGATTTTTAAAAATAATAAGTGTTTTCAAGTATGTATTTTTTTCTTTTCTTTTTCTTTCTTTCTTTTTTTTTTTTTTCTTTGGTTGGTTGTTTTTGAAACAGGGTCTCACTCTGCCACCCAGGCTGGAGTGCGGTGGTGCAATCATGGGATCATGGATCTCTGTAACCTCCGCCTGTGGGACTCCAAAGATGCTCCTAGGTCAGCCTCCCGAGTAGCTGGGACTACAGGCACACATCAGCATACTTAGCTTTTTTAAAAATATTTTTAGTAGAGACAGTTCTTGCTATGTTGCACAAGCTGGTCTTGAACTCCTGGGCTCAAGCAATTTCAGCTTCCCAAAGTACTGGAATTACAGGCATGAACCACCACACTCAGCCCTCAAATATGTTTTTGAGACCTGTTCTGCCATCAGTTCTTCATCCAAGAGGTAATGAAAATACAGTTGAGCCCCTGTATCCATGGGTCCCAAATTGCCATTTTCTATAAAGGATTTGAACATCCGTGGATTTTGGTATCATCAGGGTTGGTGGGAGTCCTGGAACCAATTCCCCAGAAATACCCAAGGACAACTGTACTTAAAATGTTAAGCCTTCATAGAATGATTGCTCAGGACCTTCTCCCTGGTGGTGGTTGATCCAGTAACCAATGTGTTTGAGATCTGGATGTCTATCCACCTACAAATTCATCTAAACTTACTCTATATTCAACCACAGTTCTCATTGCTGAGATATTGTCACATTCCTTTGAGGTCCTTTCGTATCATCTCCTTGAGCTTCTAGTCTAGTGGCCCTTTTAAAAAGTCCTTGATCTTACTCAAGCTATGGTGGAAACCAAGTTCCCTGCCTTTCTTTCTTGTCATATTCACCATCTGCTGTAACCTGTTCTGGAATTTGCTGGAATCAGGGTCAGAGACTAATCTAATTTGGGAAATCGACCTTGACCCCTTCAGAAACCTTGAGCAACAGTCCCCTCTGACCCATGGTTAGCTTGCTTCCTCCTGCCAGTTGTCATGATCTTCAGTTGTATCATTTGCCAGGTACCCTGAAGAGCTGAATTTTATTTTGAGCAGAATTTCCAAAATGGCAGCCTTGGGCTGAGCCTACTCTGCAGACAAGTGTTCTTTGGGTCTGTACAGCATTTTGAAAACTTCTAAGTTCCTTGCTGGCATTAAAAAATCTGGGCAGGTTAAGCATGAAATCATTCCGGGTGTTGACCTATGTTGAAAAAAAATCAAAGATTGGATTTTTTGGACAATCTTTGGACAGTCAGTCATATATTCTTGGACAACACTCTGTATGTCTTCATGGCCAGTGTGACAGACTAGAGTGAGCAGGAGCTGAAGTCCCCAGCTCCCTGCTCCCTTGGACCTCTCAGTTAGTTCCATAGAGACAGATCTACACACACTTCATGCTTTTATTTACCTGTCTAGTCCTTGGAGTCATCTGAGTCATTATCCTTGGTGTATGCAAAAGCCCTGTACTCCTTTTCCAAAATTAATGTTTCAATTTGTTCTGCACAATGTGTGCTTGATTCTTTCCAGCCTTAAGACCTTGTTCCTCAAGGGAGAAGGTGGAAGCAAAATAAGAGTGGAGAACTTCTGCTTTCTTAGTGTCATCTGTTTGGGTTGCATCATCTGCTCCCGATCCCTTCCTTTTCCTTCTCCCTCCAAACATAGCTCAGAAAGCCCTTTTTATCGTCCTTTGTGGGTTTTTTGCAAGCCTCAGCTCTTTCCAGGGTTTTGTCTCCTAACGCTCTCCTTACAGAAGCAATGTCAGTTGGCATTTGTTTTAGGGTGGGATGGTGCATCAAAGACTGCCACACCTGCAGAAAACAACTAAATTAGAAATAAGCCGTGTTTCAAAGTTCGCAGTGGTACCTACTACATCAAGAAAAAAAAAACATCGGTCCATATTTTAAATAAATGTGGTAAACAAAATTTTAAGAGATTTTTAAAAAGAGGCTTAAAGTTTTTGAGAAATGTATATATTTACACATCCAGTGCTAATCTGAGTGTCAAATGTGCCCACCTGCCCTGACTTAAAACAGGTCCAGCAGGATTTGACTTGACCTAGAGACTGAAGGCCAAACTTAGTCCTAATCAGACTTTTACAAAATGCTCACTTCCAATTTCCAAAATGTACTCAGGACTAGTGAGTATATTTGCTATGGTGGCTGGATCATATTGATGTCATGCCTAGCACTTTGGGAGGCCAAAGCAGCCTGGGCGGGGCGGCTCACACCTGTAACCCTGAACGGGTTTGCCACAGTTCATATGAGACATGGAATTTTAAAATCCAATTGTCATTGTATGTTAATGATATCTACTCCTGCTGTCTCAAAACAGAGCTAGAAGGCAAACTTTCAGGGCATCAGGTAAGTTGGCATTTAACAAGAGCAGCGAGAGTGATCTTATGAAAATGTAAATCAGGTCATGTCATTATGTGGTTTAAAACCATCCAGTAACTACCCAGGTGTGTGGAGGTGAAAGACCAACTCCTACCATGGCCTTCATGGATCTGTATGATCCAGGCCTATCTCTGACCACTTCTGCTTTGCTGTTTTCTTTTCTTTCTTTCTTTTTTTTGAGACAGAGTCTTGCTCTTGTTGCTCAGGCAGGAGTGCAATGACATGCTCTCCACTCACGGCAACCTCTGCCTCCCGAGTTCAAGGAATTCTGCCTCAGCCTCCCAAGTAGCTGGGATTACAGGTGCCCACCCCCAGTCTAGCTAATTTTTTGTATTTTTTTTTGTAATTTCCTTTTTAGTAGAGATGGGGTTTTACAATGTTGGCCAGGCTGGTCTCAAACTCTTGACCTCAGGTGATCCACCTGCCTTGGCCTCCCAAAGTGCTAGGGTTACAGGTGTGAGCCGCCCCGCCCGGGCTGCCTTGGCCTCCCAAAGTGCTAGGGTTACAGGTGTGAGCCGCCCCGCCCGGGCTGCTTTGGCCTCCCAAAGTGCTAGGATTACAGGTGTGAGCCGCCCCGCCTGGGCTGCTTTGGCCTCCCAAAGTGCTAGGGTTACAGGTGTGAGCCGCCCCGCCCGGGCTGCCTTGGCCTTGGCCTCCCAAAGTGCTAGGGTTACAGGTGTGAGCCGCCCCGCCCGGGCTGCCTTGGCCTCCCAAAGTGCTAGGGTTACAGGTGTGAGCCGCCCCGCCCAGGCTGCTTTGCTCCCTTCTTTCCAGCTGCTTGACCCTGATCTGTGTTCCATCAACAGGCAAAGGTCATCTCCACCTCAGGCCTTTGCATTTGCTTTTCTCCTGCCTGGGCTTGGCTACCTTCCCCAGCTCTATGGGGCCACCATTCTTATTGCACTGGAGAGATTCCCGCTGACTGAACTATTTGCTTCCTAGAGTGGGCCTTCTCTGAACACCCCAATTAAAACAGGCCCATCCTCTACCACTCTCTAATCCCTTACCCTGATTCATGTAACTTCATAATGCTAAGCAGTACCAGGAAATACAGACTTCTATTTATTATCTATTTCCTCCATAAAATAGAAACTTTATCAAGGCAGGTTATTGATTTGTCCTGCTTACTTCTGCATCCCCAGCACCTAGCAAAGTGCCTGGCAGTTAGTAGGTGTTCAATATGTATGCGCAGCTATAGGTCCAGAGGCCAGACAGCATGGGTAATGAGAGGAAATGGAAGGCTAGCATGGCCCTAGCGGACGAAATTCCCTTTGTGGTACACATCTGTGTGTGTGTGTGTGTTTGTATACACGTGTGTGAACGTGTATGTTTGCATGTGTATGAATGTTTGTGTGTATGTTTGTGCACATGCATATGTGTATATTTGTGTGTGAACACCCTTGGCAAGAGGTGAGTCTAGAAAGGAAATCAGAAGCCAGACCAAGAGGGAATTATTAGGTGGGTAAGAAGTTTAGACATTAAGCTCAGAGCAATGGGGAGTACTTCTAAACTCATTGGTGTCGTCATTCACACTGAGGACTCTGCAGGCAGATTTCTCCTGGTGTTCAAATCTTGTCTGCTACCAACTGGTGGACTTCAGTAGGTTACTTATCAGGTTGAGTTCAGTAGGTTACTCATTCCTCACCTAAAAAAAGGATTCATAAAAGTGCCTCCCTCACAGAATTGGTGGGAAGAAATGAAATTGGTGCAGAGTATGTTTGCACGATGCCTGGTATAATGTAAGGAATCAGAAAAGCGTAGCCATTGTGGCTATTGTTGTCATTATCACTTTTCCAAAACTGAAGTAAGGCAGAGAATTTTCATGGGGAGGAATTGCCGACGGGCCCAGATAGGTGCGGGGAGGTGGGGGAAACAGAGAGAGCCAGCAGCACTTTGGTGGTGCAGAAAGTGGAGACTCCATTTACAAGGCAGGCTTGTGGAAGGGGTGGCAGGTGCCTTCTCATAAATTGGACCAACACATTGGGCTCCTGGCCTATTGTCCTCCAACCTCTTTGTAGACCGAGCTAGAAAACAATCCAAAAAATCATAGTAGGGCTGGTTTTGCTAAAAAGAAACCATAGGTCACCCAGTTTCATGGAGAAAACTGGCACAGGAGGAAGGGACTCAGTTACCTGGGGATCCTCTCCATTTTCCTGGACTGTTTTCAGACTAACCAAATGGGCACAAGTGGTGTCTCTCCTCTCTCCAAACAGTAACCACATGAACTTGAGTGCCCTCTCCCCTTTCTGCAAATAGTACCTATGGCAGAGATTGCTTTCTACTTAACAAACTAGTTCTTCTCCTGGGCACGGCGCTAGGCAGCATTTCCCAGCATCCTCTGTAGTTAGATGCACCATGTGACTGTGCTCAAGCCAGCAGAAGAGAGGGAAGGCTACAAACAACCTTCCTGGCCTGGAACATGAGAACCTCCTAGGCATTCTGCCATGGTCTCTCTTTCCCATCTGCTGGCTGAGCTGACATGGCCCAAGGATGTGGAGGAGGATGTGGTAAAGGAAACTGGGTTCCCAAGTTGTCCCCTTGGAGGAGAGCTTCCATAGAGAGACAGCTGAGTAGAAATATTTACAATAGACTGTTTATAAGTAAAAAATGTGGCTGGACACGGTGGCTCACGCCTGTAATCCCAGCACTTTGGGAGGCCAAGGTGGGCAAATCAGGAGGTCAGGAGATAGAGATCATCCTGGCCAACATGGTGAAACCCCATCTCTACTAAAATACAAAACATTAGCCGGGCTTGGTGACACGTGACTGTAACCCCAGCTACTTGACAGGTGGAGGCAGGGAAATCGCTTGAACCGGGGAGGCAGGGGTTGCAGTGAGACAAGATCGTGCCACCGCAGTCCAGCCTGGGGACAGACTGAGACTCTGTCTCAAAAAAAATGCATTTTATTGTGTTAACCCACTGAAATTTGGAGGTTTAACTAAATATATCACCTAATTAAATATATCACCCCTAAGAAAGTATCATCTGAGTACTCTTTCAAAATTCCATGGCCATCTACATTAAAAAAGTGATGGGTGACATTCAACACAGATAAACAAAACACACATAAACTCTAATTTTTATAAGAGCTACAAAAACAATTACTATTATGCCTACTTTATAGACCACAAACCAGAAGTTTGTGAAGTTCACAAATACATGTGTTTTTGGTGCCAAATTTCACATCCTTTCTGCCATGTGCCTATAAGTCCATCAGTAGAAGGCAGCCAGGGAGACTCTGATTACCACAAGCTTGGAGAACTGAAAAAAGAGAAAGAAAGAAATTGAAAGAATAAAATGTTTTTATATTATAAAATCGATCATCTACCGATCAACAATAAAATATTGGGAAATGGCGTGGGGTGAAGGAGCAGCCACTTGCCATAAAAAGAAATACTTTAAAATGCCTTGAGATGAGGTTAGCAAGAAATGTGGAAGAAAATTATTACTTTTTAAAAATGTTTTAAAGTGAGACTTGGAGAAACATATCAAGGTCTTAGATGGTAGGTTCAAAATATAACCCTAACCCAAATTAAAGTGTATATTCCAAGAAATTTCCATCAAGACTCTGAATGATTTTTAAATGACAACTTGAATCCAAAGATTTTCTGGAAGAATTAATATGCAGAAGAGCAAATGGATTTTTTTAAAACCCTAGTTGATAGGGAGAGAGGCTACTGGCTTTCTCTGTTGCATATAAAAATATATTCCTGGCCAGGCTCGGTGGCTCACGCCTATAATCCCAGCACTTTGGGAGGCCAAGGCGGGTGGATCACGAGGTCAAGAGATCGAGACCATCCTGGTCAACGAGGTGAAACCCCGTCTCTACTAAAAATACAAAAATTAGCTGGGCATGGTGGTGCGTGCCTGTAATCCCAGCTACTTGGGAGGGTGAGGCAGGAGAATTGCTTGAACCCAGAAGGCGGAGGTTGCGGTGAGCCGAGATCATGCCATTGCATTCCAGTCTGGGTAACAACAGCGAAACTCTGTCTCCCAAAAAAATAAAATAAAATAAAATAATAAAAATAAAAATATATTCCTTAAAAATATTATAATGTTGCAAGAATGGACAAATAGAGTGATAGGGTTCTAAGTGGAAGGGGTTATACATGAGAGTTTAGTATATTACGAAGGTAACATTTCAAATTAGGGGAGAAAAGAGAGCTTTTTAATACATATTGTCGGGACAATTGGTTATCCATTTTTTTGTCTGTTTCCTATACCACTTTTATAGACAAAAATTAAAGTGAGATCTTTTACATCTCAGTAGAGGATCTTTCTAAGCATAAAACCCAATGCTGGAAAAAGTAAAGAAATAGATCAATAAGGTCGGTTACAAAACACTGTAAAACTTCTACATTTAAAAAAAATATATTAACTAAGTTCAAAATAAAAATAATAAACAGAAAATGTTTGTAACACTTTTGAAAATGAAAGTGTTAGTATCCACAGAATACAAGGATCTATTTGGGGACAATAATGAAAGGATAAAAAGCCATATTAAAATAGAAAAAAGCAGAATGAGCCCCTTTGGAGGTTAACCTGGTGAAAGGGATACGCATTTTAAATGTATACACCCATTGACCCAGCAAATACACTTCCTTGATTTAAAAATCTTAGAAGAATCTAATCCATCCAAGTGCTCACAGATATATGAATGAGAATGTTTTTTTGTAATGTTGGTGAAAAGAATGAGAATAGACCAGGCACTGTGGCTGATGCCTATAATCCCAGCGTGTTAAGAGTCCAAGGTAGGCAGATCCTACGTTGAGTCCAGGAGTTCAAGACCAGCCTGGGCAACATGGCAAAACCCTGTCTCTACAAAAATTAGCCAGGTGTGGTGGTGCCCACCTGTAGTCCCAGCTACTCAGGAGGCTGAGGTGGGAGAATCACCTGAGCTGAGGAAGTCCAGGCTACATTGAGCCATGATCACACCACTGTCCTGTAGCTTAGGCGTTAGAATGAGACCCTGTCTTTAGAAAACAAGTGAGAATAAGCAAGAACTTATTGAAATAAAGAGCAATGGGAAGTGACTTTTCCTTCTAGATATTAAAAATGTATTGTGAAGCTGAAGATAGGAAAGCAGTATAGTCCTGATGGAGGACTAGATAATTGAACAAAAGAAACGGTCCAGAATTAGTACTTGGTACCTAATATGACTCGCCCAGAGCATGTGGCCTCCACAATGACAGTGTTTTTGATGTTGAGATCACTGCAATCATCTCAGCCCCTAGAAGAAAGCCTGGCACATGGTAGGTAGGAAAAAGGACTGAAAGAATATAATGCCAAAATAGAATCGGGATGTCTTACATCTTTTTTAAATTCTTCTACTTATGTATGTATGTCATTGTGGTAAAGAGGATGAACTTTTATGCCAGACAGAATTGTAGTTGACCCCAGCTCTGCCTTTGATTGCCGGCTCCTGGTCTTCTCACATAAATATTTGAAAGACAAATGGTACCTACCTTACTGAGTAACGGAGATACATGAGATTGCGTACGTGAAGCACTTAGCTCAGTAAATGGTCACTGCTGTTTAAAATGCTCCACACGTCATTTGCTTCTCAGGAAATCTGGGAAGGAAAAAATTTATATGTTTAAGTAGCCAGAACAAATTAAAAGTAAATCTTTCCCTGTGTTTTCCTATAGCTTGTTTATCATCTCTGCAGAAATCTCTGAATACTGAGACTCACTCAGGGAGAGACATATCTCAGTGACTCTAACCCTAGACGAGACCCAGGGAAGGAGAGGGCTACCTCTCCCTTTTGACCTTTGACAAATGCAAAGGATCACATTACACTTCGTGATACTTTTTTTAGCCAACACACTAAGCATAACAACAAATAATCTAACAACAACAACAACAACAAAAATGCCTATTATTTTTACCATTATTGCCACTTTTTAATTTAAAAGAACAATTCATGCTTATTGTTGAAATCTGGAGAACACAGAAATGCAGAAAGAGTGGAGTTGATCTCTTCCACCTCAGTGAGCTGGTCACGATTGATGTTTTGGTTCACGTAGTCAAGTCAGTTGGCGTCTGTTTTGCAGACTTGTTTTTCCCCACGTTGTAAACATTTTCCTATCCTGTTAAATAATCTAAAACATATAAAAATGCTCTTTCATGAAATAACACTCTGTCTCTGAGGGCCACGTGGCTTCTGTCATTGGCAAAGCAGTCTTCCGTTGGTAATAGTGAGGGACTGAAAACTCCACTTGTACTGATCCTTCCCAGCCCTGCCCAGAGAGACACATGCATCCTCAGGACCGACCAGACAGGGGGAAGGAACTCAGGTGTCCTAGGCTATCCAATATTATAATTGAGAAGTTTCAGGGAGAGAAACGACATGGAAATCATGCACTTTTTCTCTCTGCTACTTAGCCAAGTAGTCAGCAAAGACACACACACACACACACACACACACAATTATACATACCAAAATCTTAGTTGAAATCTTTGGATGGTGGGATGATGAACAGTTTTTATTTTCTTCTTCTTTTTCAATCAAACATATTGAAAAAAATTTCTCTAACAAGCAATTAAAGGAAGGATAAGAAAGATTGTGAGTTTCTTTCAAACTGTAAAAATATACTGCAATCAATGTTTTGGGATAAAGAAATAATATGGCCTCTAGAGCACACCTGAGTCACCTTCTTTCTCCTACAGTGGGAGGCAGCTGTGGATAATGTTAGTCCTGATTTCTGATGGCAATGGCATTTCAGGCCCTGATGAAAGATACCATGACCTTCTTGGGTGCCTTGATCACTCTGGGGTGCCTGTCCCATCACAAAATATTAAGCTTAATCCTCATTTGAGGAGGACAGCGTGTCCGTGTAAACTGATTCTGTGACAAACATGTCTCTCCTAGAGTCCCATCACCCCCGTCTCTTACTTCTGGGGGAAGTCCATACAAATGTATACCTACACATATATAATTTATTGGACGACTGGCTCATCAAGTATATTGGTTTTCATAGCTCCACTATTGTCAGCATATTTCAGATTGGATTTGCTGCTGACATGGTTGAATGCAAAAGTACTGACATTCCTCAGTATTGCACTTGACACTTTTAGTATTACTATTAGTCGTTTCATTCCATGTTGTATCAGTGTCCAAATGGGACCGTGCTCAAAAAAACCCAAGTGCTACTCAATTCTGAGGAGGTGCCTGGCTTTGGGGTGCTGCTCTTTTACATCTCCTATGACGCTGGGAGGGGAGCCACATCAAACTATGGTGCAAATTGCAGGTGATACCTGTTGCCCAGAAAATACCTGCAGAGCTCATTTGGAAATTATTTCAGGGAGATTTTTTTTTTCTTGGAGAGAATGGTCCCTTTCAACCTCACCGTAATGAAGAAGCTGAATCAACATGTGTGATTCTGAGTAGGGGTTCTCTTCAGTAGGAATGACCACCACCTCAGTTAATCCTCACTGAGTCCCTGCAAGGGTCCATTTACCCAAATTTCTTATAAGGCCTTGTACACACACCAAAGCACACATGTAGGCTCCAGGAACTCAGGAGCAGGTGTGTGTGCAGGTGTGTGTGTGTGTGTGTGTGTGTGTAAGAACATGGCTTTGTAGGAAGAAACAAACAAATATATTTAATGCTTCTTTGCTACAAATGACCCACATGTATTTGCATATAAATAGGGTTGTTGCATATTCAAGGTTTAATTTTTAGCAAAATGTCCCCAAAAGAAAAGGAAACTCCAGGAATAGAGCAGTTCATTGAGAGGCAGAACTTGAGTTCTATCCTTGTAAAGGGCTGTTTCTAGGGTGTGGAGAACTGGGAAGGCACACCCGGGTCGGGTTGCAGAAGGCACTTGCTCAGCAGTGAAGACTTCTGTCATCTGTTAGCTTAGAGTTGTAAAGAACAGCTTTCTCTAGTTGGACCGACTTAATAGCTCATCCCTCTCCCTTACCCTGAGCATAAAGTTGAGAGTTCTGGAATCATCTGTGCTCATTCAGCAAACCAGTGGGGTCCTCCAGGGAGCATTTCTTGAGTGTAAAGGGATTCCACTGCATTATGTGGACCCTTCAGGCCCTAATTCCCTGGACCTGTTGAGAAGGAGACATGTGTACCTCTTGCCGAGTTGTTTACCAAGCAGAATGGGCATATTTCTACCCATAAAACACTGCTCTGACAACTTGTCCCTGGAGATAAATGGTCTTTTCCATAGCGACTTTAAATAGGGGGTATAATGGGAGTGAATGGAATGGGGTTGAATAATTAGACTGTTCCCAATAAATCCTTTGGGGAAGATTTCTGCACATGACACTTTCCAGGACTGTATATTAGCAGGCAGGCTCTGTGTGGTGTGGACACAGCTGTGCTCCATGCCAGGACAGTAGGTAAGCAAATTGCAGACGGTGGAGACAGGGACAGCATTTAACTCCCTCTTTTCCCTATAAAATTTGTCTCATTCACCAAAGGAATGTCCACATTAATTTGTTTTCATTTATTTTTTAATATTTATTTGTTTATTTTGAGATAGTCTTGCTCTGTCACCCAGTCTGGAGTGCAGTGGCATGATCTTGGCTCACTGCAACCTCTGTCTCCTGGGTTCCAGTGATTCTCCTGTCTCAGCCTCCCAAATAGCTGAGATTACAGGAATGTGCCACTATACTCGGCTAATTTCGGTATTTTTATCAGAGACCTGGTTTCACCATGTTGTCCAGGCTGGTCTCAAACTCCTGAACTCAGGTGACCCACCTGCCACGGCCTCCCAAAGTGTTGGGATTACAGGTGTGAGCCCCTGCGCCCAGGCTTAATTTGTTTTTATTGCTAAAAATATGATACTTTTAGGGCTAATCTTTGCTTACTTTATTCAAAATCAGTTTTTTAATGTGGATATATCTGACACATCTTGTTTATGACAGGTGGGAATCGAAACCACCCCATTAAGATGGGAGGAAAAAAACAAGTTATTTACTGGCAGATTTGGAAGATGTCTTCTTGAGACATGCTGGCTGGAAGACTAGAGGCGTTTAAGATGCCTCATTCTATTTGTGTGCTTCTCAATCTCTAAAACTTAGATAATACAGCATCTACTATATATATCTGTACTAGTCTGTTGGGTACAGGTTAGGGCAGGGGCCATGTTTTAGTTCATTTTTTATCCAGAGTACCTAATAATTCATGGCACAAAATAAATCAAAGGGCATCGTTTTTAAAGGGCCATTTTTTTTTTCTTATCCCAAAGAGAAACACATTTAAGCCATTAACATATACTAAGCTTTCTTCTGAAATTAGCTTGGAATATACCATGGCTTCCCTTTGAGGATACTGATAATCTAGGTATGATTACATAGGAAATGGTGGTGAGTTGACCTTTAAGAGGAATAGGTGACATGGGAAATGGACAAAGAGAGTGGTGGGAATCCTTTCAGATCATGGCTATGGGGGAAAGATGAGATGGTATTTTCCACAGACATATTCATGAATGGGATTGGCCTCTCCAGATCACCATGCTGAATCCACCAAGCTCAGAGGATCAGCTTATGGAGAGGCAGGTGTTTGAAAGAACAGGTGTGTAGGAATCTGATCAGTCCTAAATTTATTCTGAAGCTTGGCTTTTGAATCCAAGAGCATTTTCCCTTATGGGAAATGGGCTGCATGATTCCTATAATTAGTATGAAGAGAGAATTATTTGACATCACATAAAGATTAATGAGTATACTGGGGGTTCTTCCTTTTCTTCTTCTAATGTCATTTATTCTCTATGCTACCAGTTTGTTTGGTTGGAATGGTGTCTGAGTCAAGTAATCAAGACCAACACTGGTAAACCCTGAGGGAGGCACATCTGGTCTCCGAGGTCTGGTAGTCTCTTCTTACTGCAGACTTCCTCCAGCTCTGCAGGGGCATTCACCATCCCTTCACCCTGATACCCCACCATTTATTTCTACACCTTCTCTGTCTTAGAGAACAATGGCATTGAGGGCTTATGGGCTGGGGCTCTGGCTCCAAATTGACATGAACTTCAGCCTCTTCGTGGTCAAAAATTGCTGTCTTATCTTTAGCAATTGTTTAATCTCTCAGAGTCTCAATGTCTTCATCTCTAAAATGGGAACAAATAATAGAAATGAAATCTCAGAGTTCCTGTAACAGTTAAATGAGATATGCATGGAGCACTTTTCTCTGTTTAGGAGTTGGCCAGTTGTACTGTCTCAGTACATTTTGGCTAACCTAATTATGGTGAAATATTATGATTTAATGCCATTATTATTATTATTGATGAGGATCCAGTAAACGAATCTTTAGCGGCAAGGTAGGTGTTTAGTATTTTCAGTCTGGGTTCGGTGTGTTTAATCCACATACATATCTGCTTCAGATGTCCAGACTTTAAGAAAGGAATACCTGTTTTATTCCCAGGGACTGTCAAAGCTGGTCTCCAATAATTATGGGCTGAATGAATGAAAGGAAGTAGCAGAGACGTTCTGTTGATACCATTCACCCTCAAGATACCTACTTAATTCACTGCAACTGACATATCTAGAAATCCTTCCTGCAAGAAGAAGTTTGGGATAAAGAATGTAGCAAATTGATTATTTTCCTCTCCCCCAGTCTCCTGATAAAACCAACCTTTTCCAGTTTCTTTTCTAGCTATTCTGTTTTTTATTACATAAAATGCTTAGGTGATTGCCAATAAGTAGTATATGAATACTTAATGAAGGTGAAATGAATTATAAATGGCATGGAATTTATCTATGTTGCTTCCTTGCTGATGGAGGAATGGTCCTTGATTT